ATAGAGTGGTAATGAACCAGAGTAGAGACAATGTAAATACTATGGAAGTTCCTATTGTTTGTAACCTTTGGTTGTTTTAATGTTGAATTCTAATGATGTTAGTCCATGGGGACGTATGACAAATGTTTACTAATTTTATGTTATAATTTACACTAAAGGTTTTTATTATAAGTTTTTAGAGTGTAGCCATTTCACAGTAGGGTCTAACGATCAAGTCTTGAACATTCGTCAAATTAACCTTTTGACCTAACCTGCTTTAACCAATCAAATTTACGCCTTGCCAGTGTTGGCGTTTAGTGGCGCGATTAAAAGGTGTATTTTCAGCAACAATGGACTGGTTTTTCCGATGAAAATAGAAAACATACCTTTTCAATTGATGTTCTGGATTGATCCAGTTCAAGTTGATCGATTAAAGCAAACGTCATCAGGTTAGTTAGAAAGTTTATTTTGACGAATGATCAAGACTCTGGCCGTTATACCCTACTGTGTAGTAGCTATACTAAAAATGAAAACTATTTACAAAACGAAACGAAAGTTTCATCAATTTATTTTATATTCTGTGGAGGTGACCAAGCAATCGTTTAATAGTATTGTACCTCCGCTTTATGTTTGCAAGTCAGTATGTGGACAAAGTGGAGTATAACAGATTGAGTCACTAAATCTTGGCGTGTGGCCCTAAATACTGTTCTTCCAGACGTCTATGACGTCCCACTTACCCACACATATCACATAACATGTTGGTCACATTGCTGTATATTTTGACTGGGTGGTGAGAAGAACCTCAATTTCCATGATCAATAAGAAACCATGACCTGTGGCAGTTTTTAATCGTAGAATCTTTAACTTTTCCAGAATACACATGCATAAAAGACAAAGTTAGACTTAATCAAAGGAATTTTCAAAACAAAGAAAGAATCACCTATTGCTATATGAAAATTTCAATAAATATTTATCAGAACGGGTTTGAATTCATTGTCTTTGCTACATAACGTATACAAACTTCGATTTCAATCGATGTTAACAAAAGGAGTATGTGTCTCTACCTTGAAACAATCAGAAAGAAGATATTCTCGATATTTATGACAAAGCTTTGTCATCACTTGGGAATCGATAGTAAAATTCCATTTCATTAGATTTCGCTAATAGGCAATATTTTATAGTCTGCTTATTTGTCCCTATTAAAGACTTTTCTTGCGTCTTCCGATACCGCTTATGAGACAAAACACTACTATTTAAATTGTCTCAGGTGGTGTTCACTGGTGCTTCCAAAGATGTTCCTGTGCCACGTGTTGGGAATCAGGGACATAGAAAGTCATTTTCAATGAATAAGTGAAGGAATGAATTATCTTCGTTTTCAAGAGTCTTCATTTTGAAGAGCAGTTGATAACAGTCTAATTAAAATTAGACCTAACTTCCGTTCGTATTTTATTAGTTTCGTTTCGAATGTTTTATTAGCTGTTAGCTTTGTACGTAACCTCTACAGTAAGGTCTAACACGGCCATGTTCGATATCCATGTTCTGATCGACCTGATACAGAGATTTTAGATTTACGTAAACTATGTTTAACGCGCAATGACTTCTTTTTTAATGGAAAAATATATTTACAAACATCTGGAACTGCTATGGGCAAACGATATGCCCCTAGTTATGCGAATATTTTTATGGTCGAGTGGGAGAGGGAGATGGGAGAAAATATCTCACCATTAAACCTTTATTTTATGGACGGTTTCTTGACGATATTTTTATCATTTAGTCCGATACTCTAGAACATTTCTGGGAATATTTCGAAATTTTAAACAACCACCACCCTTCTGTGAAATTGACAGCAAATATCAGCGAAAACAGTAGGATTTTTTGGACACCACGGTGTTCAAAGGCAACGACTTTCTTTCTTCTAAAAAATTAGACATTAAAGTATTTTTTAAGGAAACTGATACCCACCAACTTTTATACAAAAGCTCGTTCCACCCGAAGCACACATTTTCTGGAATAATTAAATCTCAAATTCTAAGATTTCATAGAATGTGCACCCAACAGGCTGATTTTGAATCCGCCTGTAAACTAGTTTTTGACAAATTAAGGGAGAGGGATTATTCCAAAAGGTTTCTTCGAAAAATTAAGAATGACACGCTTTCAGGCATTTTGAGAAAAGAAGACCCCCTCCACCTTTTATTGGATTCGGTTCATTTCCCTATGGAGGTCCTACTTGTCGCACGTGCGAACACATGCATGTTACCCATTTTTTCAAAAATAACAAGAACGGAAAATTGTTAGCGATGAATAACCTAATTTCTTGCGGAGATCAAAATATCATATACCTAATTTATTGTAAAAAATGCGATGTACAATATGTTGACGAGACTCAAAATGCGCTTCGAACGCGATTCAATGGCCATCGCTATGATATAGTGCATGGCAAGGATAGACAATGGCGAATCACTTCAACCTTCCCGATCATTCCATTGATGACCTTCTCATCACGCCTATAGAAACAGTTTCTACATCACCTAGCATGAAACCTAAGCTTAGACGTCTACAACGCGAAAGTTATTGGATCGATCAACTGCAGACTGAGGCCAAATGGACTCAACATTCAACATGATAACCAGATAATACCCTTTATAACGACATTTGATTCTACAGCTACCAAAGCCTCCATAATAGTCAAACGCCATTACTCGGAACTTCAGAACAAATTTCCCCATGTATACATAAAACGTTTGGTTGTAGCTTACAAAAGAAATCAAAATCTTAGCAATTTCCTCTTTCACGGTAGACTTGAACCATTGAACAATGTCCATTCATCCTAGGAGCATAGATTTCTTAATATAAATGTATCATGTTCTATCAAATTAATCGATTTCTAAGTTAGATTTCAGGGAATACTTATTTCAGGACTGGTGCCGTGGCTATATACAGTATATTATATAACATGCAGTTTATGTTTGTGTAGGTGTCTTTTCAACTAAAATCATACTAATGACTTACTAATTTTCACATAATCAATAGACTTATCTATTGCTCTGTGACATAGGCCAGTGCTTTCATTGAGACTCGTCTCAATACACCCTAACACTGTCCTTCTTGACTTTTCATTCTGTTAACCTTTGCTTGACCTCTGTTTTAACCAATCACGTGGCTGCCTTTTCCAGCGACGGGGTAATGTGACGCGAATAATAGGTGAATTCGGGGCATATAGACTAGTTTATCAAGTCTGCTAATCTAATATGCCTCGGAAATTGCGAACTATCGATTTTAGGCCTTTGGTGAAATTGTGACTAAATGATAATGCTTATAAATGCGCGAAGTCTTTTGCTTCGCTAGATATATCAAACAAACATACGTAGTGTTGCATTATTGTGCCCTACCAACAAATGATCATATTTTGGTCTAGATGTTTATTATCCATGGTGTTTCATCGTTTTTAAAAATTATGGTTGGTCTTGATTTTTGTCGCCGATTAAAGACTTGAGTAAAATCACGCGTATTCCCGTGTGTCCACGACAAGATTGTCGCGTCCCCGACAGGTTTTATAACATCAAACTAATTTGATAATTGTCTCCGATAGTTTTAATGTCTGCAAGACAGTCCGTCATTATCCAATCAGATTCATTTTCCTCTCAAGTGCACGCTCCGCACGTGATTCTATGGTGGAAAACGGCGGACTAGAGATTTTTGTCTCCTCGTGTGCTCGGCACCGGTCGGTAAAACTATTGACAAGACTCTAATCGGCGACAAAAGTTTCCAAATTACTTACTTATACTGACAATAAACCCCTCTAAAACGGTATATTTCTGACCAAATTATGATATAATCTGTATGTAGTTGTAAAACCTCAATATGATCTCAGACCAAAACTTTTTATGTAATGT